AGAAACTTAATATCATATTCCTTCCTGATTAACGGTTGATTATAATATATTTGCACAACAATGAAGTTTTTCCGAATAAGGCACGAGACTTTAACAGCAGTTTTTTTTACCCAACAATATTTCGTGTTAGCTTACGAAATATACAATCGAGTAAGCAACAAGAAGGACAGCATGTGTAGTCCAAAGTGGCCAATCAGAGACTCGTATCGCAGTGGATTGTTAACCCTGAAATTACCGTTGATAAATCATCTCCATAACATATTATTTAATAAGTTTCCACAACAATATTTTTTACGTACCTTCTGTAGTTGTGTCAGTAAACTTCTTTTTGCTTACAATACCATTGCTTTCGACGAGTAGCTTAGCAAATGGAGAACAAGAAAACAACCTGCAATAAAAAACGAATATTAAAATAATATTACATATATTGATGATAAAAGTACGGTCTATAATCCTAATGAATCCATACAAATTGATAAAGTATCAAAAAACTCCAAAAAAAAACTACCCGTGTCCCCACTTTTTTAGTTTAACCCCTCTGATATTATCTGAACGCGGATCTTGCCAACATGAGTTCCTCTGTTAATTGTTTTAAGCAAGTTAGGAGGAAGATCAAGTTTTAGATCTTATTTGTATAGATTATTCGTATCGTTATATTAATTTTAGTCCAGGCAACAAGAGRAGAATTTTGAAAATTTAGCTAGCCGGGCGAAATTTGATATAATGATAATTCGACGACGCTGAATCGAATGGTGCTATTTTTTTTGCAATCAGATTTTCTGGTAATGAGAAAAAGGGTAAAACTCTTGTTGCCTGGACTATTTGAGATATTACGCAATAAGATCGAAATAAACGTTCTAAAATTTTCAGTCTTTCCAACTTGAAACTGAGAAACTTTTTTTCTTAATAATTTTATATTTGGACGCGATAAACAACTAATTGACATAAAAATTTAAATTAAAGTAGCAAATAAAAGACAAACGAGAAAAAAGAGATAACGGAGACAGGAATATTTAATTGCTCGACAGGAAAAAGYCTTGTAGCATAAAAACTACGTGATATTGTGAAAACAAGAGCGGCGCTACAAAAAATCGGATATACGTACCTTACCTCTGGATCGTTTCACTGCTTATCGCAATTTATTTCACTCCTATAAGAGGTTGTAGGTAGTGCCTAAACTTTGCTCTTGTACAGAGTTATGGATGTAACTTTTACACTTCTTTCTGTAATAAAACGGTCTCACTTTTACCAAAATGAGTCTACGTTTATCGCGGTAGAAGGAATGTTAACACGTGYAGGTGTACGCGAAGTAATTGGAAGTAGCGCTACAAGCGGAAGCGTAGACATTTATTTTCTCGATGCGCCCGAAAGTTGGGGGATGCTGCCGGGCGTAGAATATTTTTACTATGCATTTTTTTATCAGATATTTATTAATATTTCAAGAATATAAATTATATATATATTTATTAATATATATAATATTTATAATATTTATTATATATATAATAATAGAAGTATAACTTCAAAAAATGGAAAACTCAAAAAGTTACCAGTCAATGAAGTGGGAGTCTCAGAAAAGTGGCTGTTGTCACGATTCAGACATTTCTACGAATGAGAGATAGAAAAATTAAAATAAMAGATTAATAATTCAAATCTATGCCGCTATCGTACTAACTAAAAAAGAGTTGAAAAATAACGGCATCTGCCTAAAAAAAAATCACTTTTTTTTTTTTAAACTTCTGACTTTTTTAAGAAAACTAAAAATTTAAATTTGGCGCTAAAGGTAGTTAGTTTAATATATTTGGCGTATTGCTTAATCTTTTTCTTTCCTCATCTATATACAATTCACCCCTTTGGACAAGATAAAAGTTTTATTTCTATTTTAATAATAGTATAAAGATCATATGATAATGTTGTTTTGCAGAAGACTGGATTCTGCTTGTTAATCACTAATGCTTGAGATTATGCTTTATACGTACTAGTAGAAAGTTTTATAGTGTCAGTCTTCTGGGAAACATCAGTACATCACATCCTTTACATGAAGGAAGTTACTTCATCTATTGATGTGAATTTTCTGAATAAATTTTGATAGATGTACCAAAAACATATCAGTATTATAATACATTCCAAACCAAATAACCCAATTCCATAGATATTTCATAAATATCTATATATTTCTTTACCGTAAAAGCTTGTATTACATTGTAAAAATTTTAGGCCCCGTTCCTAGTTATCTCAAACGGAAGAGCGATCGCCCGAATCACTGATCCTTTTTTTACAATTATTCTAAAACACCGTTTTTTAAATATATATTTTATTAGAAATTGGTGATGTCGGATTTATCGAATTTAAAAAGAACGGTAATGTTTCAATAAAATAGGAGAAAAAAATATTTCGGTAAGCGAACTTTTAAAAGTAGTTTTATAAGAAAAAAAAATAGGTAAAAGTACGGAAGAGTCTGTTTTACAAGGTTTCGCTAAAGTAGTCGACCATCCACTACTAATAGAATTAAAATATGCTTCTTATTGTAAGACACGTTGCTTTAATTACTGACACAGAGGTAAAACAAGGCCGATGAGGTCGATGTAAAAGGACCAGAAAAACAGTAAAGTTTCAAAAACTGAACATCAATAAAACTTTACGATCAAAATTTTTTATTTTATTTATTATTATTCTCTTATGCTACAAATGTTCTAAAAATCTTGAAATTTTGTGGGCAACAAGCGGTACTATTGTTCTATACCTTCCTATACATATCTTTATTCCTATATTGAGATAATAACAAGTTTTTATTTTAATAGATTATAGAACATAGATAAATGTTAGTGAATGCAGGTAGCATTTTTTTAAATATAAATATTCTAAATATAAATGTTTATATATTTCTCAGAAAATATCGATACGCTATTAATAAATTATGTATAAATGCACGAAATAAATTCTTGAAATCCTAAAGTAGTTTTTGTTTCTAATCTCAAATTGTTGAATTTGCAATTTTTTCGTTTACTCTCTTTATCTGACTTTCTAACAATTTAATACAATTTTGTTGGTTATAATATGGGTTTAAATAGTGGTCGAAAACGACCAACATGAAAGTACGAGAATATCTTGATTTAAAAAAGACAATTGTGGGAGATTGGCAGGGTTGTAGGTTGAAATAATTAAATAAGAATCGGTTAAATATAACCGATATAATTAATTAGTATTTGTGTATACCAAGCGGTTCGAAAAACGGTTTTATTGTTTGCAGCGTATTCTGTTTATATATATGACCGCGTATGTTCTATAAGAAGCCGTAGAGGCGAGCGCAGACGCCGATAAGCGTACTGATTTGGCAGGGTAGGTATTTATCCACCAGAACCCAAACACTAACACCTAACATCAAACGCTAGCCTCCATGAGGCCGAACAATAGCTAGTGACTCTGCCTCCTCGTGGCCCCTGCTGGACAACGTTTTGTCGGCAAAACTAGTAGTTTTGCTGATAAAGCGGCTAAGTGGATCACTTCCCAATTCAGGACGGTGTACCTCTCTGATGATCCAGGAAATGGTGGTGGTTTTTCCAAGCTTAATGACCACAACAACTACGATCATTTTCTCTTTGCAGTGATTTTACGCATTCAACATCACGTACAATAGCCTTCAGTCTGAAACACAGCTAAGCGAGCATCAGATCAAACAAACGTTCAGAGTTACACACTAGATGTCTGTTGTATAAGCGACCGGCTTGTTACGTGTGTGTGATCGACGCACCGTCGTGCGCGATAGATTGACGAGTCTATTTTATAAAATAACTTTTTTAAAGTAAAGTGAAAGAAAATTTTGTATACAATTTAAATACCAATAAACAATGTGTACTATTTATTTTTATTAATTTCTGTTGTGTATGTGTTATCTCTACTATATGTGGGGACGGGGCATAATACTCTTTTGTCAGGCCTCAGCCGATGGGCAACAGCTCGTGCAAGGCGGGTGATTCACTTGTTTGAACGAATGTGATGTGTGTGTGCATGTGTGTATGTTGGTGCATGACCAGCGCAATAAGTCGTTGCTAAGGGAAAAAGAAAAGACAGAGTGATTAGCCGATCGTTGAGACGAAAAGACGTTTAAGTCGTAATTTCATTAAGTCGTTCAAGTCGTTGTTCGTTAACTCGCCTAAGTTGTTATTTTGTCGAAGTCGTTTGAGACGCTATATTTCAAAACCGTATAAGCCGTGTATCTTTTAGACTTTAAGACGTTCCGTTTGTTGTTACAATTCCTGTTATTTTAAGAAGCATTTAAACGTTTTTGTCATACCGATATTTTCCCAATATATACACTAACAATATTTACCATCAACCCTTTGTTTTTGCTTCCTCACACCTGATCCTACATATATATATGTATATAAAAATTTTGTCTTTTAACGCATTTTTGGCGCTTCTAGATGTATGTATATCTAAAAATGATGGAAAAACTTTATATAATCCATATATATGATTACATAGAGTATATGATTTCGTGTTCGATTTATAGTCATTCCTTTCTGCAAATAAATACATAGTACTACTACTAACTATATTATAATATCATACTATTGTAACTCATTATACAAATTGGGAGTCTAATATTCTAATTGATCTTTTCAATATTCCATGAAATTACATTTCCCTGTTTACAATATTGGCTGAAATCCGTGTCGCTTTAGTTACCGTTTTATATAGTAATCGTGATAACTTCCACCGCTTGCGAGAAATGAGGATCAAAGTGTCGCTACCTAGCGTCTGATGCTGGAACTAATGCGATTGGCACGCTACGGATGTGGCGAGGCAAACGTAAACCACCACAGGATTCCCCTCCAGTTACAATGCGAGAGGAACGAAGTTGCGAGAGACTAGTTGCTTCGTTGAAGGATGACGCGTGAATTCTTCATGTGGTCATGCGCGTGTCCAAATCACATCGGGAACACCAATTACGTAGCGGATAATTATGGACTTGAATTAGGATTTGTCCAAATTATTATTCTACACTAGTATTTTTATGTTACATTTATTTTTAACAATTATAAACTATTACAGATCCGATTGGATAACAATATGTCATTAATCACGTGTGTTAATCGTTCAACTCGTTAAACAGAAGTAATACTGTGTCTTTTGTCTCTCGAACAATGAAGTTATTAGCCATGCGATTCAATAATTGGTGGGTTGAGAGTAATGGAAAGAATCATTGGCTAAAAGTGCAGTTGATGGATTTCCAATAAAAACATAAAAAGAACTATATGAAATTGAGAGTTCATAGAAATTCAATTTGATGTTACTGTTCTGAAGGTTAGTAAAAGTGCGCTAACTAGTTTGTTACAAATTCAAATGAAAAACGGTCGGTAGTAACATTTGCTTGAGTTTTTGTAAAAGGAAATTTTTTGCGTTCGTAAAGTAAAACGATGGCTGATGCTGATGAATGGTAAATAATTTATACAAATGTTTCCTTTTATTAACAATTATTATGAAAGAATAAATTTAATGTTTTGATTCACATACATGAATGAAACTTGCTAACAATGATCAAAAGTTGTAATAATTTGTATAAGATGTGTTTCTTCAAATCATCTGTTATCTTTTTTACTCACTTTCTTTTGATAAAGTTTAAAATTATATTACATTAACCGTTTAGAATGATATCGAGAAATATTTATTTGTTTGTCAACAAAAAAGAAAGTTTGTTATTTCTAATTACATTATTTGTTTGATATTTTATTAAATAAGTATGTTGTGTTCTTTAATAGGAAACCAATAATACAAAAGACTTGTACAATGGTATGTAGTGCCATAACCCAATTACATTTAATATGGACAGAAGTTGGATACGATAAAGAAAATCAGTTAGCTTATACTAATGCGGCACTTGATCACATACAGGTAAAATAATCTTTTCATAAATATTATTGGGAAATAAAGATGATTTAACTGCAAATTGATGTTTTAATCATAAAACAGGAATTATTAACCGATATGGTGTCAGAGTCTGAGGATAAGAAAAGATTATTATTGGAAGAATCTAAACAATTAATGCAAAATACATCTATTCTATGTAAAGTATGTATTAGTTTTATAAAGTCATTGTAAAATCTTCTCTTACTGTTTGCTATATATAATGTATTAAATTTATTGTAGGAATTAAAAGAAACTATTGATACGAGTGGATATGAGAAGCTACCACTATTCAAATTACAACAAGTACTTCAACATGATATGGAAAGGCTGTTGCGTATAAAAGAACAACGTAAAACATATTTAAATGAATTATTAACTAAGGTAGGTTTTCATATCAATGTTAAAGAATGTGCAACTTGAGATTGCAAACATTTTCTATATACATGATTAAATATGTGTTTAATTAATATTTTTCTCTGTTCTTTTCTTAATAGGAAAATGAAATATGCAAACGGCTAGGTGTACAGCCAATAGGAATTGAATCTAAACTTCCGACCGAAGAAGAATTAGATAACTTTAAGTTATATATACATAAACAGGAAGAAGAAAAGGTACACTGCTATAAATTAATAATCTATAACTTATTGTTTCTGTTACCTAACCATTTGACAAATTTGAAGGTGTATTTACATCATTATTTCATTGTTTATTCAGGATCGTATAGAAAATGAGTTTAAAAATAAATATAATACCATCACCAAAATAGTGCAAGATCTAGGAATTAGTCCATCTTCTAATTTTGAAGAAACAGTATGTAATAATTCAGAAAATTTTATACTTAATGCTGCCAACATGGCGATGTTAAAGGATTTTCATGAAAAATTAGAAAAACAATTAAAAAGTGCAAAAGAGGAAGTTGAGAATAAAAAGGAAGAATTATTAGCTCTATGGGGAACCCTGGATGAACCTAATGATTTTTGTCATGCATTTTTAGACAATTATCCGGGGTACAGTCAAGCTACTATAAAAGCGATAAATGCAGAAATCAGCCGATGTAAAGAAAGAGCACATATTGCGAAATATGTGAATAGAGTACGARCCGAATTAGTTAACATGTGGGATTTATGTAAATACGGTGAATCTCAACGAAATAAATTTACTGCATTTTATTCTCGTACGTACACAAAAGATTTATTAACTTTACACGAGCTAGAAGTTGATAAAGTTCGCAAATATTATGAAACAAACAAAGTTATATTTAATTTATTGGAAGAGAGAGAGAAGCTCTGGACGAAAATGAAAGAATTAGAACATCGCGCCAATAATCCAGATCGATTAAATAATCGAGGAGGTCAACTGCTGGCAGAAGAAAAAGAACGCAAAGTTATACAAAAGAAATTACCTAAAATTGAAAGTCAGTTGCATAATTTGGTAGAAGAATACGAAACGAGACACGGGGAAACGTTTTATGTTAATGGTGTTTCCTTAGGAGAATTCTTAGCGCTATCATGGGCTTATCGTGATATTGAAAAGGAGAGTAAAAAGAATGCAAGGAAAGAGGCAAAAGACAAGAGCGCGAAAAAAGCAAATGTAACCAAACGTACGCCAACAGCCTCGACTAGTCGTATCCTAACTCCTTTGTGTACTTCAACCAAAAGGAAATTAATATTTGGTTCTACGCCTAATAGTTCAGCCAAACGGCGTAATGTTGGAAATGATAAAGTACGTAGTGTCACGTATGCTTCAAAAATTCGTAGAAGCGGAAAAGTACGTACTGTCTTCTTATATCTTTACTTACTCTTTACCTTACTTTTTTTTCTTCAATTCATTTATTTCTTTCGTCAAATTTTCAGATCTCTAGACGAGCTTTATCCGAGAACAAAAAACGAAGAAGCGATCAGAGAAAATCCAGATCGTCATCGCAGAACTTAGATACAGATGAAACGACTTATGGACAATTTCAAGCACATTTGAAGGAGAGTGTAGAATTGCGTAGCTCTGTGTTAACCGACCATTCGCTAAGCGCTAAATGTATTTTAAAGACTCCGAAACGTATACACGTTAAGCCCTTAAAAAGGAAATTATACAATGTAAACACATCATCCAATGCAACATCCAAATTATTACAATCGACTCGAAATTCTCCACGCTGTCCTAGGTCAGATCATACTTCGAAACTTGCAACTGCGCCGAATGTGCTTCCTATTATTTTTTGATAGATTATTTTCTTCGTTTAGATGTCTTTTTTAATTATTTGGTTATTCATTGATGTTTTTATATATTATTTTCAAAAATTTATATAGAATAATATGTATTATGCTGTATATATAGAAGGTAGAGACGAAAAGAATTCAAAGTTGAGATAGAAATGCTATTTTTGTTTATTGAGAAGAGATGTATGTATGCTAAGTAGGTGGTAAGTTTCGTATTTGAAATTTTTATATAAATATTATAGTCTTTATTTGTTTCAGATACTTGAAATGTATATATTTATTTTATGAAACATTTGTTCGAAAAATAACAATGATCGGCTATTTTAACTATTGTGATAATATATATGATGTAATATTTTGTTTATACCAAAAATAACTCGTAATATATTATTATTTGTTATAACATTTAATATTTGTGTACAAATTAATTTATGATATGAGAGTATATTTAATTGTAATAAATTACTAGAAGTTATGACGTAATTATTATTACCTCATGAAATTTTTGATAGTAATAATACGATAATGATGGTGAAATTGTTAGTATGGTAAATAACATTCTCCTGCTACCACTTTTTTTGAAATTAACACACTATCGCAGAATTAGTGCGAACGTTACTCATTCGCATGAGTACTATTAGGGTGAATCAAAAGTTCGTGCGTTTATTGTGTTGTTTCAGATAATACAATTTTTTGAAGTCAATAAAATTACCTTATATGCAAGTGTAACTATTGAAAAACTATATTCTTGTGTAACTTTTGAAAAGCTCTTTCATATTTACTTATTAACTTAAATTAATTTATTGATCATTTAACTTTTTCGTTTTAGTAAGAACATGGAAAATTTTGAAATTCGAGTACTTTTACGTCACTACTGGAAGCAACAGTTTAAAGCTACTGAAGTGGTAAAGAAAATATGCGAAGTGGAAGGAAAAGATGTCGTCTCAGTTCGTACAGCACAAAAGTTGTTCAAAAAGTTCTATGAAGGGCATACAAAGTTTTACAATTCGAGTACATGTAATATTTTGGAAATTAATAATAAACTAATAATAGCTGAAGATACCTTTAAAAAAGATGTAATGAAATAATGTTTTATTATATCAAAAAATTGAGTATTGATAAGTGTCTAAAAGACACTTAATATGGACTCTAGGCAAGAATTATTAATACCCAATTTGCTATTTGACGTCAGTCTTTGGAAAAGATATTAATGCTTTTTCCAGCAATAGTGTATTAAGTTTACGTTCTTAACAATTACCTTATATCCATAATACTTATTCATATCTCTACATTTGTTTAAATGTCGTATTGTTACTTATTATTATATATTATAATTAATAAAATGTTTTACTATTAAGTTCAATATTATTATTTTTGTTATTTTTTTTTTTGTAATTTTTGTTATTTTGTCTTCGTGAATCTTAGTACGTAATGCATTTTGAACCGAAAAATTTCCAGAACGGAATTTCGCAAGTAAAAATCTGGAAGTACGTACTGTTCATGTTTCACCACCTCACACAGAACAGATTTTTCGATGTGTTTACTCTAATAGTTTATTTTTTTCTAAAATAATATAATAAAATGTGTCTTGAATGTTTATTTTGATCTTTTATTGAAAAAAATCACACACTGAAATAATACAACAATTACGGTAAGTTTGAATTTTGTATACAAAGTAAACATTGATCTATTTTATTACATAATGAAATAAGTTTGAAAGTTGGGATATTTATAAAATGATCGATTATCTATTTTGGCAGATAGTAAGTGAAATATCTAGACCATACAGTTGCTACTGATACGCCAAGTTCTCTCATATACAATCTATTTAGAAATATATGTCTAGATAATCTGTTATGCTCGAGCATTTTAAACATCTTATTTGTACCCAATAATTGGCAACAATGATTTTCCTCTGAATGAGTTATGCTTCTACAATAACAGCAAAAATTTGCGAAACAACTGGATAAGATTTGATTTAATGAATTTTTCGTAGTTCTTTGGCATTCCGATTTAATATTTACTTTGATTAATTCCTGTAGTACGTTTGGATGATATAATATCAAATCTGGCATTTCTGGATTTAAATATTTTCGTTTTATTTCGTATAAGATACCATTTATACTCAAGTTTATTTCCATAATACATAAAGCTGATTCTCCGACAAGTTTGGAAATGATAATATCTCTTAAGCGCGGTATATCTGTTGGGTTTACGAGACGACAAGCTTTTTCGCATACACTAATAAATAATGAAGCTTCTATATTATAACCATCAAATCGTGGGATAAACTTTGTTGCTTCTGCTAATGAAGTATACTTTGTTTGTATAGATCTTGGGCAAGGCGTCATTATTTTGATTATAATTTTCATTTAACTTGTTTCGAATGGTTATCTATCTTACCTATTGTGCAGAATTCAAATTACAACACTTTTATGATAAAGATCTCACTTGTACGATATTCGTTTTGGGTCTACTTATTGTTAGAACAAGTTAAATGGCTTCAAACTTAAGTCACAAGCACAATACAGCCATCTAATTATCAGAAAAGATTCTTGAATAATTTCTGTTTCGTTATCCAAGTGACGATGCATGAAATACACATTTTCAATAAGCACCTCGTTAGCGTATGACAAATTAAAAAAGGAACGAAATCTCGTCTTGTTTTCCTGTTTGTGTTTTTCTTAATAGGAAGAAGAAGCAAGGGCATACGTATAAATAATATGATTTCGCTAACAAACACAATATCTCTAACGGATTTGTGTTTGCGAATACGTAAATATTCCGGTAATGGTTACGACTTCGTAAACAAATAAATAGATCGAATATCTACGATGAAAAAGGAAACTCAAAAGAGAAAAAAGGTGAACCGTATTCCTCGTTGCAAAAAGCCTGACAGATCAATGTTGAATTTGAATTTCGTGCTACCTCGGTTTTAGAAATAGCACGTTGAAATTCGTTAAAACCGAACGGTGGACTCACTCATAACGAACTCTTTCATAAAAACGTTCTCTATCATAATACTCTCAATAACGGATTTAATTAACGCATTAGGCAATTATATATATATATATATATTTTTTCTTTCATTTGTTTATTTATTCTATAAATACATAGATATAATTAAAAAATATTTAACTGTCTCTCCTTTTGTTATATTTAAGTATGTTAACAATATAAAAAAAATAAAATTAAAAGTTCATTTGTTTCTCGAACAACATTTATCAATTACGAATAAATTGTCTGCAGCTGTATTTGAATTTATTTTATCTTGTAAAGCATAATATCTGTAAAAATATCTATCTAATAGGTATAAATTTGACTCGAAGTGGTTTAAGCGAATTCAGAGTAATATCTGCTGAAAATGTAACGTCATCTAGTTCATCCACTGGTTCCAATTCAAAATTGTACAGTGTAGAAGCTACTATAAGTTTAAGCTCAAACATTGCAAATTTTTGACCTACGGGATAAAGCATGCTAGAATAAGAAAAAACAATTTTAAAGGTTTTTTTCCTCGTTTTTGCATGAAACATTTACCAATACAGTTTCTCGGTCCGGCACTAAATGGTATGTAGGAGTAAGGATGACGTCCTTTAATATTTTCCGGTAAAAATCTGTCCGGATCGAAAACATTTGGATTTGGCCAATATTCTGGATTTCTGTGCACGCTATAAATGTTCACCTCACAGATAGTACCAGATGGAATTAAATAATGTTCTACAAAATTAATACGATTACATAGTGAATAAAATAATGAATCAATGATACGTGTTTGATATTAAAGTATACATATACATATGTAAATATTTTCATACTCAGTTGCATATCATGAGAAATTTGCCGAAATATTATATGAACGCTTGGATACAAACGAAGAGATTCTTTTATACATCTTTCCAAATAAGTAAGCTTTTGAATAGACGACATCGTAAACTTATAACCTTCTTGCGTAAATGTGTTAATTTCGTGTCTTATTTTTTCCTACAAATACATATATCGTTAATTATCCCATTATATTATGTGCAATTAAAATCGAAAAATCAAAATTACTTATGTCAGTTTTAAGAATTTTTGTTCGAAAATTCGAATAAAGTTGATTTTATTAATTATTAGGATTAGCAAGAAGTGACTAAAAATTGGTGTAATGATTTATATAATAATAAATTATAGGATAATTCGTAGAAAATAATTAATTTTAAATATATATGAGTTTCAAAGGGAAAATTGAAGACAGTTAATAAATTTTGATGAACAAATTTATTTGATCTTGTTGAACGTTTCGTCCCTTACTGG